CTCCTTCCTCTTCCTTCTATTCTCTTTCCATTATTATAATATATCTCTCTCCTATATATACGTGTGTTATGTATGAAGTTGTTACACTCTGGATATGTGAATAAACGAATAAACATCATTGTCGTGAGTGGCTGTAAGCTACTCCACCTCTATCCAGTTTGTCAATACGATATAAACTCAACAGAGTCTTATTTATCGTTACACTAAGTATTAAAGATTTTTAAATAAAAAGTAGGAAAAGTACCAAATACTGTACTAAGTATCCAATCATGATGATGAAGCAGATGATTCATTGAATCAACCAAATGCATCTACAAGGCAAACAGAAAAAAAAACTTTAAGTTTCGATGAAAAATTATTTATACATTTTACACATGAAAAACGTTTCCAACCATATCGGGGAGATATGCACCAAATATACAAAGACGTCTTTCAACAAACACCAGACACGTATACACGATTGATCGTTGGTAACCGGAATCGTCGCGAGACTCAAAAAGAACTGATACGAAGCGTCCAACAGAAGCAATATTACAAAATAAAATAACAAAGAGTAAGTTTCAAACAAACTTCAACGAAACTTTTCATAAAAACATTAACCACTCAACCTTTTTTCTCTAATTAACTAGAACCAAAGAAGCAAAAGACCACAACAAATTGAACAAGATACACGTCCGATCTACAACGAACAAAGATTAACATGAAAGCTAACAAACATCTGTAACATGTCGACCAAACAAGATTACACCAAAAAGACTTTGAAAAACTTTAAAAAATTAACTTTTCGAAAATTGTTAACTTGATATATTAGGAAATAAAAACAAATTTTCTAAGCAAAATAAATGAAATGTTTTTATCATCATATATTTAAGATTTTTTCTTATATATGATAGTTTATAAATTAATTTTTTTGATTTTTCTTTTAAAATCATTAGAATTATTTACCATCTGATGATTCCTTTAGTTAGGATGAAATCTATAGATCATGGTAGCTATTCACACCCGCACCCACACCCTGTGACAAGCTGAGTCTTTTTAAATGGACAGCGACTTCCAGTTGACCAAAAATGCGTTCGCTTTTCGATTCAGTACCGCTAAGCCTTATACAGGTTATTTTGGCTTTTTAATTAATTAAATATGTGGTCACTAAAGTAGGAGGTTCCTTTCACGCACTTTGTTAAAAACAAAAAATGACTACATTTCTTCGGGCCTTATAGAAATGCCATTCTTAAACTCACGTATAAAATGTTTTTCTTGTTCAGTCATAAACTTAACTTGATCACCAAACTGAAGTTTTAATTCTGGAAGCTCAAGCGACTGAATACTCAAAAACAAGCAGAAAAGTCAGAGGAAAAGACACAGTAATGTCAAGCAATGAAAGAAAGAGCTATCGTTTAGGTGGACGAGAAGGTGGTAGTGGACCACTAGGTGCGGTTGTGGCTGAAGTTCCTGAGGGACGAATGAGCGTTGCAGCTGATGGTGGCAGTGGCGGAGCGGCGGCTGTTTTCAATGTAGCGGCAAATTCTTTAACTTTTCTTCCCGCATCTTCGTTATTCATAAATTTTTTTTGCATAAATTGAACTGGATCTTCCTCGGACCAATTCATATCGGTTAGTCCTTCCGGTAGGCCACACTTGTCTACTTTACACCCTCGATCTTTTCCATAGAGAGCAAGGCAACACGCCCATATGAGTTTGGGCTGTTCTTCTGCCTTTTGATTGAGTAACACAGCCTTTTGTTGTACATTTTGTGCTTGTTCACTATTCATCTTCGTATCCTTATCCAAATCATAGACAAATGCATCATGATAATTACAATTACCATGACTCGTTTTCGACGGTATATACGTTTGTAAACACTTAGGACAAACTTTGACCTTTTCATCGTCTAATCTCTTTTCTTCTATTTCTTTTTCGGTTATTATCTGTTCATTGGTTTTTTTGAATTCAATATCCTCGAGCAATGTACTTCGTAATAGAGGATGTTTGACGATCATAACAATCCAACTTTCTTTCGCATTGTTCGTTGATGATGTCTGTGAAGGAAAAAAATTGCATTGGCGTAAGAGCGCACTGGTTGGTTAGTGTATTAGTAGAAATGGCGAAAGCGTTCGTACTGAACACCTAATATCAAATACGATATTAAAAATTAAATACGAATTAAGAGAGAATTCGTGACCACGCTGACAACTTCATTAAAATTCAACACAACTGCCCTGTACATTTTACTACATATTCGGTGTCTACATGAAAAACGGGGCTTACGAAACTTTTTTGAGTAAGTTGGGACTTGGTTTGACCGAGTTATACTCACTTCAACGTGAGTCGGTCGAATAAACCAGGGAAGTCACTTTCTAGTAGTGTTTCTCGGTTAGGGGTGGCACATTTACTTTACTTTTTGAAAAAGTAAATCAGTAAAGTAAATAAAATATTTACAATTTACTTTTGTAAAGTAAATAAAATACTTACTATTTACTTTTGTAAAG